TTTAAGACCACAAAATTGCTTGACCTTCACTGTCGAGCGTAAAGCACTACCTAATAACGCTTCGCATTATGAGGTGTGCTAGTATTAAACGAATGAATAATCAAAGGTGTGCAGTACTCATAAGGTCGTAAGTCTCCGGTTTAAACAAGATTCTTTTTAAATTAAGAAGTCCCGTCCCTGTTATTATGTTATTGATCAAATTCTGATGATTAACGTAGATTATGGAATTTGACTTTGACAACAAATTTCATATATCGCGTCTAAGGTAAAGACATGGCTAAAAGGCTTTTTGCGGTAACAAAGACTCTTCTTTAAACCTGTGTCTGTCAATAAACCACCTTTTGTAATAAAACCGTGTATGTTTATTCGAAATAATTAAAATTGACTACTTAATCTATTGTGTAGGTAATATTTTCTTTGACGAACGTGTGTTGCTCACAGAAACAACGTTTTGTAGGAATGTGTAAGAACCCAAAAGCTTTTGTCGTCTACGTTATTATTACTGTCCGTTATCGGAATCGAGTCATCATCGTTCGTCATTAAAGTCCTACTCAAATCAACTGAACATAGGCCTCCCTCTCCAAATAATACGACAAAATACGGCTACAGAATTCTAGCCACGGACACGGGTCGGTTAGTGAAAATTAACGCATTTGATTGAAGAATGAATAGAAATATAATAATATTATAATAATATTACAATAATATAAGAATAGAAATAGAAATGCGTTAATTTTCATGGCTCTATCCAATCTCATTTTTTCGTTCTCAATCTCAATCTCACATTCAATATCACGGAAATTGTATTATTTTAATATTTTAGTAGAATTTTTAACGGATAATTTGAGGTCCCTTTTAAAATGAATTTACACAAACAAAAAAATTCATGAACAAAAAGAAAGCTCGACGCTCTACGGAAGAAGACGGCATTAGCCAAAGAATAAACCGTAATATAGTCAAAATATCTTTTAATTCAACTTACACAGAGCACAAAAGGTTCAAAGATGGTTCCATTCGATAAACAAATTATAGTCTACAAAATTTTCCGCACGCGATCGTCTAATACCTAACGAAACTTGAATGAAAACATTTGATACACAAAAGGGTTGCCAGTTCGGTAAATTAAATAAGTATGATTTATGTGATAAAGATTCCGATTTGAATAAGTAATGTGAACAAATAACATTTAGAGAATTTGTAAACTATATTATCCGGACGTATGGTCTGTTAATACATATTTAAGTCATTTCAGTACTTAGTATAATTTAATGTTAGGACATGAACAAGCGAACATAAACCCCATGACACCATCAAAAAAATAAAAAACCACGATTACTAACTCACCTGCCAGGTGGGGAAACTTTTTTTTGTAGGATAAGGGTGTCAAACGAGTACACAATCTACCTGATGGTAAGTGGTTGCGGTGGCCCATAGACATCTACATCTATCCTTGATTGCGAATCAAAATGCAGATGCGTTGTCACCCGTGAGGACTAAGATGGAATGCCTTGTTTCCAGTAATATGGGTCTCTGGTTCTCTACACTCACCATACCAAACACAGCAGCATTTAGCTGCCATTTTACGCTGGTATTCTATGAGAGCTTAGTCCTTCCCCGGTCGAGCCGACCCATTCGTGCTATAACTGTACTAATATTAATAATATAGCTCCAGCATGGCTCTACCACGTGGCATATATCCCCTATGAGGGAATAGGGAATGTTAAGCAGTGGACTATTATAGGCTGAATGGTGATGACGACATTGACCATTTGGAAGTTCTTCAGGAGTCCACCTGATTATCTACCACCTTCTCGTCTATTAGACACAAAACAGCAGTGCACCCACTATTATGTAGGTACGTGTTGGAAGGGTGAAGGCGTCAATATTATTACTGGTCATGAAATATTTAATTGTAATGCTCGGAGATGGCAATTCATTCTGTATTTGTGACATTTTCCGCAAAGACTATCGATCTTTGCAGGCCACACGCGCTGAAGTTTTTAAAGGAACTTTATTCGCGACTTGTCATCGCAGTTCTCAAAGGGCTGGTTCGATTCCCGTCCCGTTAAAAGATGTTACAGCATGTGTGGAAAAATAGCAGAATTTTCTTAGCACAATATCGCGATGGGTAGGGTTTTACTTTAGTTTAGTTTTTTTTTAATTAAAAATCTATTTAAATATATTCATGTAGGTATTTAAATACGAATACGTACTATCGCAAGAAATTTACGCGCGCTTTTTACAGTAAAATGTACATTGTAATAAATACTACAGCCCTAAAAGTCTGGAAGATAGGTCATTGTCCGTGCCAGGTCGTGCCAATTGCGTGTCTCATGAGTTCAGTTTAAGAAATGCTTAGGGAAGAGCACGCACCCCTGTCTACGGGAATGTAATGTGAAATCCCAGTGGAGAATATGTAAATAATGGAATGTAACCGAAAAAATCCAAGATTATAAAGTTCTTTTACTGTCGTTTATATTAACGACCGCATAACTCGGTGATCAATAAACATGCTACAGACAAACAGACCCTACTGGAAACGAGCATGGTGATCTGCATTTTGTTGAGGATAGTTTGTGTGTTATAACATGATTGTATACACGTAGGTGAGTAGATTCGACCGGGCGGGGGGACCACACTCGCGTAGAATATCAGCGTAAACTAGCAGTACAATGTAACTGTGTTTCGAATAGAGACATTTCACCTTAGTCCTTAGGTGACATCGAATTTGAATTGTTTATAGTAAATGGATCTCAGTACTTAATAGGTCCCAGCATCTACACACCATCAGACTTTTTAAGGAATACGGGTGACAAACGAAACGAAACACAGCAGTATTAATCTGCTATTTCACGCTGGTATTATGTGAGAGCGTTGTCCTTCCCCGGTTAAGCCGAAAGTTGGTCTTAGGTCGAGTGGCTCGAGTCGTGTGGGTGTGTGTCCTTAATTCTAGAGACCTTTAACTGGTAATGACATACTTCATGTTAGTCTTCCAGGATGGATGTGTTCGCTTATAACCCAAAACTTTTTTCAAAGTGGGTGTGAGATTCAAGTTATGGAGCCAGTATATTTGAAATTTTAAGCTAGCGCCGCCAGCGAACACTGTACTTATACATAAAGATAGCGCGCGTAGAGCGCGATAAGCTCCATTTATCTGAATGAGACTCTATATTCTAAAGTTGATATAGTACTTGAGGGTAATATGGTCATCTGGTTAATATGGTCATCATCACTTTCATATAACTCAAAAACTACAGCCTTGTTTGCATAGATGACTCTGTCATACGATAGCTCTTCATCGGCCAACCAAGTAGTCAAAAGGGCGATGCTTTATCGACGCCATTTTGACAGTTGACATTATATTGGTAAATATTTTAGTCGATTTTAGTATGGGGTAGTGTATTTAGTTTTTTAAGTAGATTTTCTGAAGTGTTTCTAATTATTGTCAACGCTTGTTTGCTTTTTTTTTCTTTTTAATTTATTAGTTATAGTATACGACTTTGTGTTTCTGTCTCTGTTTTTCTCCTAGTTTTGGTTTTATAATGCGGCAAAGCTTTAGGTGACTATATTACCCTCGCGTACCGTATTATACATTTAATAATAGATATTTCTACAGACAACTTCAAACATAGAAGGCTAGATGCGTTGTCACCTCTGAAAACTAAGATGTAACATACACTTAGAGTATACTGGCGTACAGATTTAGTAATATCCCGCAGCGAGTAATTTACTGGCTGTATACTCTTCAGACCGGGACACAGTAGGGCAAGCACTGCTGCTTGGCAGCACAAATCGATAAGGAAGTGGCATTACCCAGATGAATTCCTGGGCAGGATTTATTCAATAAAACTACCTTTACGGATTTTATCGCTTTTAATTTACTTGATTTTAATTCCCGACGTTTTGGGTGCTTTCCAGCAATCATAGTCACGGTAGACTGAGGTGATTGACGTGCTAAAGTCTGCAGTTTGTGATCATATCCAAGACGGCCTCCGCTATTACATCAGATTTGATAGACCACAAGTCCTCGCGAAAGAACATCGATTCCTGCCAATTATAAGACACGTAAGGCTATTGAAATTAAAAAAAATCATCCTAATTTCAATAGAGAAGGAGGCTGGATACCACCTGCTTGGGATCCTGTAGTTAATAAAATTAAAACTTAACCGAAGCATACAACTGGAAGACTTCAAGACACAGTAAGTTCATTCTGCGTAGATCGGACCATAAGTAATAATTAACAAGCTGAAGGTACTCCGGATTAACACTGACAACGGGACGTCAATCACCTCAGTTCCTCGTGACAATGGGTGCTGGGAAGCACCCGAAACGTCGGGAATTAAAATCAAGTAAATTAAACGCAATAAAATCCGTAAAAGTAGTTTTATTCAGTATAGTGTTCATATAAGTGAAATATAATAAATCATTATGAATTTTATTAACTGAGATTAACTGAGAATAATAAATTAATTTCTCAGTTAAGAAAATCCATTAAAATGTAATTCAAGTATAAATACGCGGAGAAGAAATCTCATAAGTGGCTGTTTAATACATTTAAGCCGCGGCCATATTTGGACTTCGTGCGATACCAAACGTGGAATAGCCTAACGCATACCTAGGCGCAGTCTAAACGTCACCATATTAGTATACCGTCCATAAATAGTAAAGTGGACAGAATAATTGAATCCGTGAATTATGTAATATTACGAGTATAAATCGTGCTATGTGTAAGCTACGCGATATTTACTCATTCAAAGAGGTATATGAAAATAGATAATAAGCGGTTTTGTACGTGACTTCAATGCGGGTACAAATACCTATTTCATATAATTAATTTGTCTACGATATATTCTTCTTGGTTGAGTTATACAAATGTTATTGTTCCGCTTGCCAATTGTAATATGTGAACTTATTAATTAAAGTAGTGACATTGTAAGAATACGATATTATTTTACAACTTTTTATATTTAAGTTACAAAGTTCATTAATGTAGCATAAGATCAGCGTTGGGCCAAGTATACTGCCTTGTGGGATCTGCACCATATCGTTGGGCCAAGTATAATGCCTTGTGGGATCTGCACCATATCGTTGGGCCAAGTATACTGCCTTGAGGGATCTGCACCACATCGTTGGGCCAAGTATAATGCCTTGTGGGATCTGCACCATATCTTTGGGCCAAGTATACTGCCTTGTGGGATCTGCACCATATCGTTGGGCCAAGTATACTGCCTTGTGGGATCTGCACCATATCGTTGGGCGAAGTATACTGCCTTGTGGGATCTGCACCATATCTTTGGGCCAAGTATACTGCCTTGAGGGATCTGCACCACATCGTTGGGCCAAGTATACTGCCTTGAGGGATCTGCACCATATCGTTGGGGCAAGTATACTGCCTTGAGGGATCTGCACCACATCGTTGGGCCAAGTACTGCCTTGAGGGATCTGCACCATATCTTTGGGCCAAGTATACTGCCTTGTGGGATCTGCACCATATCGTTGGGCCAAGTATACTGCCTTGTGGGATCTGCACCATATCGTTGTGCGAAGTATACTGTCTTGTGGGATCTGCACCATATCGTTGGGCCAAGTATACTGCCTTGTGGGATCTGCACCATATCTTTGGGCCAAGTATACTGCCTTGTGGGATCTGCACCATATCGTTGGGCCAAGTATACTGCCTTGTGGGATCTGCACCATATCGTTGGGCGAAGTATACTGCCTTGTGGGATCTGCACCATATCGTTGGGCCAAGTATACTGCCTTGTGGGATCTGCACCACATCGTTGGGCCAAGTATACTGCCTTGAGGGATCTGCACCATATCGTTGGGCCAAGTATACTGCCTTGAGGGATCTGCACCACATCGTTGGGCCAAGTATACTGCCTTGAGGGATCTGCACCATATCGTTGGGCCAAGTATACTGCCTTGAGGGATCTGCACCATATCGTTGGGGCAAGTATACTGCCTTGAGGGATCTGCACCACATCGTTGGGCCAAGTACTGCCTTGAGGGATCTGCACCACATCGTTGGGCCAAGTACTGCCTTGAGGGATCTGCACCATATCATCTCCACGTAAGAGGCGACAGAGAAAAATGAACCAGGAGATGGGCAGCAGCATATTTGTGACAATAACATAAATATTAAAATATAATCAAAATATAATTTCAAAATCTCCCCTATGGAACATCTTATGGAGGAGGCCTGTGACTTGTGCGCTCTGGTGGGAGGATGAATGGAACGGTATTTCATGAACAAATATCGTACTCGTAGTGTACTGGTATTTGCTACGGTTCTTAGACGCGCATGTTTGAACCTTGCGCGAAACGAGTATTTGGTATGGTTTACCAAGTAATTGTTTGTTCATATACAAATTAGGGAGAGCCGTGGTAGTTTAGATGGATTAGCGCCCGCTGTAAATTTCACGGCCGCCAATGAAATTGTTAATTGCAATTTTCAGTGCTGATTTACCACGAGCTTGGCGATGAAGGAAAACATCGTTATGAAATCTACAAGTCTGAGAAATAAGAAAAATACATGTGCCCTGCAGTAGGACGTATATAGACTGTAACTTTAACTTTTTAACTTTTCTACAATTTAGGTGTATAAAACGTCTCTACGATACATGACAAAATTCTAAAATTAGAAAAACGTTTAAAAAAAGTTCCCACTTTCCTGATGGTATTCTGATCGTATTTTAATAGTATATAATGAATAGTATTCTAATAATATTCCTATAGCTTAAAGGATTCGAAGAATATAATTTAAAAATTTACTACTACTATTCAACAGTAGCTTACTGATTTAACTTGTCGCCTTTTGATTTACCGTGTACAATATTATGTAATAAATAAGAATTATATCTACTACCTACGCCATATCATTTGGTGCCGTAAGCAAGCAGCGTCTTTCTAATAGGTAACAACTTAAAAAAAACTGCGTTGCCACCCTGCCTGCCACGCGTGGCAACTGTTGTAAATATCCCCCTTACGAAGCAATTTATGAGTTGGTCTATCTGCAGTGTACTTTACTAAGCTGCTATAAATAAATGTCACCTTTTTAACTAATTCTTGAAACAGATTTCTTTACGCAATTAAATCACAGAATACAAATATATATTAGCAACGTAACATGTACGGAAATAGTATTATCATCGATATATTTAACAACACTATCTCGAGCAATTGTTTACGATGCATCGGAGCAGTGAACTTGGCAATAGGAATAGCGAATGATTTTAATAGAACTGACGCGTATGCATGTATTTTAAATTGTGAATGCATGACGGTTTTTTGGCGGGAAACTCGGAGACACGGTCCTAGCTAGATTGACAAAAATAACAAAAAATAAACACGAGAAACTGTGAATTTTAGTTGAATTTCTTGAACTGAAAGTGATTTTTCCGGACCGATACGACCTGGAGACCTTCAAGAAAAGAGCTTAATCCTTTCTAAAGGGCCGGCAACGCACCTGCAATTCCCCTGGTGTTGCGGTTGTTCATGGGCGGCGGTAGTGACTTAACATCAGGTGAGCCGCATGCTCGTTTGCCCTGTCTTCTATAAAAAAAAAAACTATTATTTATTTTGTAATTGAATCCATTTGGCAAAGAAATATAAAGATATTGAAAAATCCTACTAGGATCAGAATCGAGTAGACCAAAGATAAAAAGTTTTATAATTAAAAGTTACGAAAATTTGTAGCCAATACGAACGCTAACAACGCTACAACAGTCGTGTTAATAGTTGCCTGAGCTGAGCTGAGCCTGAGCTCATCCAAATTCTTAGCTTGGCAGTATTCACAGTTAGTTAATAGTTAGTCTACTGGCTGCTCGCTGCAACTTCGCCCGCGTGTAATTTAGTTTTAATTTTTTTTTTGCGTGTAACCCTAATTCTTTTTCTAAAATAAAAGTTGCCTAAGTTATTAGTTATAACATCATCTATCTGCTAGTGAAAGTCCCGTTAAAATCGGTCCAGCCATTATGGATATTAGCTGAATAAACAGACAGACAGGCAAACATTTTAAAATTGTGTTTTAGTTATAATTACAGTGTCTAATTTCATATGCATAAAGTGAAAATCTGTTATTTTGACATTACAAATAGGCATTTTAATTTTATTTATTTGTATACCTAGATTAAGCCTTCACTCATTAAATAGGCCACTCATCATCATCTCCTAAAAGTTCACTACCCGATATAGCCTTATTCCGTTGTAGGGAGAGTTTGCCCTAACCATCACTCTTGGAAGGCCAGTTCCAATTCCAATGCCAAGCCTTTGGCGCTGCTCCCTGTTGCCGGTCTGGACATTTTACGACTGACGTAAAGCGATGGTAATACCGCCACCTATATGAAGCATCTTTTTGGCAATTCACATAGTTGCTTCTTACGACACACAATTCTAAGTAGAGTGATGAACTAACTACATGCATCAGAGCTTTTTCATTATTATTATTCCAAGCCAGCGCTTGACTAAAATCCCACCTGATGGTAAGTGGTGATGTAGCCTAAGATGGTGAAGTACACTGACTTAACCAAAGCCTATTCACTCTTGCCTTGAAGACATCTACATTGTAATCGGATGGAAAGGCGGATGCTGGTCACTTATTCCAATCTTTTGCTGTACGCATGATGAACTACGAAGCAAAACCGTTTGGTTCGAATGCGTGGTAAGTCAACAACGAAACGGTGGAAACTGGCCGAACGTCTGGTTATCCGATAGTGGAAGGGGGAGAGAGGAATTAAATTATACAATTCTTACGCAAACTCTCCGAAATGCATCCTGTAGAAAACCGAATGGCTGGCTACTTACTATATAAGTACGAAAACAAAACTTACCTACGATCACACAAGCGTAACATTGGATGTGTATGTTCTGTTGCTATAAACATAAGACTCCTCATGCTTGACCGAATGGTTGTAACCGTTAACGAGAACATAACAAAATAGCAGCACGAAATAACAACGTAATGTCTCGAATGGTAAGTGACAAAGTACCTACTGGAAACCTTGATAAGGAGGTAACGAGGCATTCCATCTTAAGAATAGATACAATATTTAAATATTATCCAATATATCTACTTACCAACATATAGACTGTGTGCTTGTTTCTCATTGTCACCCTTAAAAAAATATAGAACCACTTACTATTCCAAACATTAAAGTACATTTTCCTTGTTGCAGATGAACAAGAAAGAGTACAAAAGAAGACTTTCGTCAACTGGATTAATTCACATTTGTCAAAGGTGAGAATTTCATTATCTTTTTGTATATTTCTTGTAACTATCGATAGCTTAGGTCCGTATTAATAAACGATCCTCAATGACGAACTCAAGCGCGTAATAATTTGATACGTCCGTCCTCATTAAGATATCAGAATTCTAAGATCGTTGCTAATTAATAATCACATAAAAACAGTATCTCAGTTACCAAGATCAGCTCCATAAGACGCTGTACTTGAGACAGTCTTCTGTGACTTGAGGGCTTGATCTCAAGAACGATTACGTAACATTGACAGATGCTTATAACGTTATTTATCACATAAATTATATATTTATAAAGTTATTTTCTACTTAACAAAACCTTGAATTGTTCAAACAGTTGTGTATGTACCTATTTCTAAATAAGGCTTAAATGTTTACCACTACTCTACTCAATATGTACAAATAACCTAACGTAAGCGACAGTAGTTTGTACTACAAAAAAGAGACCACACCAAACAAAATCTGCTTGTTTTAAACTTTGCTTGTTTACGTTTTACATATAACTTCATTGATTTTGCGTTTTAATTTAATTTACACAAAGATAATGCTTTCCCGATATTATATTTTAAAAAAAACTAGCGATCAGCTCCGGTTTCGCACAGGTGATTTCAAATCTCGACAACAGCGCCATTTAAGGGGATATAATAAGTCAGCTCAAATTCTAATTTCGCCCCCACTTGCCCGCGAGTCGTATGCTATGTACCGACATGTTTGTAATCACTAATACTGTACACTTATTTCATTAGGTTTATCATATTTATGCCTGTTTCTTAACGCCAAGCCAGTCGCTTCTTATTTTTATTACGGTTATTTCCCATTTTAATTTTACGTCGTCCTGTTGCGTAATGTGTATTCTGATCGTAAGCGACACAACCTCCGCCTTCAAAGGCCGAAGCGAAACTAACCGGGCGGCAGGAATCACGCTTCAAGAGGCCGATAGTTTAGGTAATTTCTTTTTACAGTGAAAATAATGGTATTTTAAAAAAAGTAAATAACATAAGCACTGCTTTATAGTGAGTTCAGTTAGTAGCAAAGTTTCATGATCTTATTTAAAGTATTTTATGAATAACAGCGGTTTATTGTTTATTTTGGAGGTAACTTTGGATTTTTTTTCTATCGATAAAATTTTACGGAATCGTATTTTCGTTTAACATAATCCTTAACATTGCTGCAATATTTTCGGCATAACGGAGGATCTTGCTAAGCCATTTGAGGTTTTAGCATGTTTTGGTCATCCCAAATACACACGAAAATATCATCAATATCGGTTGAACCATTTTCGAGTTTTTGCGAGACTAACGGACAACAGAATTTGATTTTTATATCTATATAAGAAGATATAGGGCTGTGGTGGGAAATATGGAGACCGATGGACCGTTTTAAAAGGATGGTAACTCAAAAGGATTTGAGGCATCCCTTATATACATGTTTACGTCTTTACGTGCTTTCCGAGGTACGGCGTTGAAAACATCGCCAACTTCCCGACACCTGGACGCTACTGATAATTTCTTGACAGAAAAACCCAATAACTGATTTTGGTCCGACCCGGGATTCAAATTCAGGACCTCATAATCAGCAACCGCGTTTCCGACCACTAGACTTATGAGGCAGTCATGCATTTTAATGAAATATATTATTCTCGCAGCGCATCCCGCCACTGCGTATAGACGACCTGATCTATGACCTACGCGATGGCACCAAGCTGCTGGCGCTGCTTGAAGTGCTGTCAGGCGAGAAGTTGGTGAGTTCTATTTTTTTTAGTTAACCTTATTTAAAAATTAAAAAAAAAACACGAAGTGTAATTGGCCACCAAGTTTTGTTTTCAAATATTCCATTAATATTTCTCAGGAAGTTATAAACACGAAAGATGAATTCGTGATGTAATGTAATATATCGTGTGTCATTTATTAATCTTAATTTGCATACTTGATTTGAATACAATTACTTGCCTTTTGTTAGAACAGTTTTACTTTTTAAAGTATGTGTTTACAGCGAACTTTTTTTCAATATACAGGGTTAATTTTCAAAGAGTAGCCAAATTTTAAACTTAAGTTCAAATATATAAATAGTTATATACCGTTATTACAGTTTTCGAATTAACAAGTAAATAAGGCTTTTCCTTTTATTTGAAATTATCTCAAATTGAATGTGATTTATGGGCAACAACGTTTTTGCCTACCGATTGACTCTTAAGAATGTGTGCGTGCGCAGTTAAATAAGTTAAAATCAAAATAAGGCATATTTTTAATTTAAAAGATGAAAAGGACAGAATGTTGAAGATATTTTAAGTATTTCTTTCTTCATCATTTGCCTATATTTATTATTCTTAACCTATTACAAAATAACCCTGTATAGGTACTCGTAGGCTGTACTCGCTAACTTAACTTTCCTTTTTACATTACATGTATTTTAAAAAAGTATTTTTAAAGTAAGTTTTATATAAAAACACTTAGACCACCTGATGGTAAGTGAATGGCTATGTCCATCATCATACCGTTACCGATACCGTTGCAGCCTGTGAAAAGGCCACTTCGAACATGGACCTTCCCATGGATTGCATGAAAGGGGGACATTGTGTCACAAGGAGGCATTTGACCTAGTTGCCACGCTTGGCTGGCAGGTTGGACCGCAGTTCTTTATTTAGAAGGTGCTGCTGCCCATCTGCTCGTTTGTTTCCCTCTGTCACTTCTCACGACACCCACGGGACGACATGGGATAGTGGATATTCCTACAACGCCACTGCACGATTATATAGTCTACATCCATCCTCAAAATTAAAAAAACGCACAGGCGTTATCGCCCGTGAGAACTAAGATGGAATGCCTCGTAATCAGTAAACAGTTTTGTACATGGTAGCATGAACGGGTCGGCTCGACCGGGGAAGGACCACGCTCTCACAGAATACCATTGTGAAATAGCAGCTTAATGCTGCTGTGTTTCGTATGGTGAGTGTAGAGAACCGGAGACCCTTTTTACTGTAATCGAGGCATTCCATCTTGGTCCTCAGGGGTGACAACGCATCTGCATTTTGATTCTTAATCAAGGTTAAACGTAGACGTCTATGGGCTACAGTATACACTTACCATCAGGTGGACTGTTTACTCGTTTGTTACACTTATTCTATAAAAAAGGATGCCTGGTCCTTGTCATGCTCCATAATATACACAGCGGCATTATGCTGCTATTTTACCCCGGTATTCTGTAAGAGGGTAGTCTCATTTTTAAAACTAGAGTCATCTAAGAACTTACATTCTACCTGATGATAGTTTAGACTTCTTCAGACGTAGAAGGCTGCAGGTACGTTGTCACCTCTGACGACTAAGATGGAATGCCTCACGGCCTGTAATTATACTGGCTCTCTATACCCTTCAGACTAGACCACAGCAGTGCAAGCACTGCTATTTTGCAGCAGAAATAGGAAAGAGACCATAAGTTAGTAAATTTCAGCAGAAGTAGAAAACAGACTATAGTTTAGTATATTTCAGTAGAAATATGTAAGAGACTATAGTTTAGTATATTTCAGTAGAAATATATGAGACTATAGTTTAGTATATTTCAGTAGAAATATATAAGAGACTATATTTTAGTATATTTCAGTAGAAGTATGTAAGAGACTATAGTTTCGTATATTTCAGTAGAAATATGTAAGAGACTATAATTTTGTATATTTCTATAGAAATAGGTAAGAGACTTTAGTTTAGTATATGAATGGTACCTACCAAGACATACCTTTAGCCAGAAGAGTACCACCTACCACCTATTAAAGTAGTTCTTTCCCATTCAAGTTCTTAACTAAGTGTTTTCTCTCAGCCCATGGAGCGAGGACGGGTGCTCCGCAGACCGCACTTCCTTTCCAACGCGAACACGGCGCTTCGGTTCCTTGCCGGCAAGCGCATCAAGCTGGTCAACATCAACGCTGCAGACTTAGTAGACGGCAGACCCGCAGTCGTCCTAGGTCTCATCTGGACCATTATCCTGTACTTCCAGGTAAACACTATTTTGTTTCCTCTACACATTAAGGTCTTAATTACAGTAAATGTTGTTATCATTCACCATATAAAACCTTCGTCGATCTTTCTAATCAATTTCTGGACGTGTTGTTAAAAGAAAGATTTTTTTTATTCATTAAAATCTTTATTGCCTTCTCCTTTAAAGCAATACAAAGGGCTGACTTAATTACAGTACGCTTTCTCGACCAGTCAACCTATCGAATGGTGACATTTTTATACACGTTTAGGTAGGTAGATCAATCAAAAAAATCTCAATGAAGACTGTAATCTGAAAATAAATGCACATAATATTATCATCATCTTACAGTCATCATCGGCCAGACGTCCGGCTAAACGCATCCAGTCTATGCCAGCCATCTTGCGCAGATAGTCTTTTCATCTATCCTAGAGACACTCTACATTACGTTTACATAAACACAGTCTCCACTTCATGACGCGACTATCTACTCTGCTCCAACGTGTTACGACAATCATTTAGATAAACGATTTAATTTAGACATGTTTGCTTGTACTCGTAGATTACAGTCCGTTCTAATTAAACAAAATCATAGGAAAAATAGAATAGTAGGATTAGTCTCGCGCCGTGCGAGTCTTTAAATGCACAGCTAAGTCTCATTTAGTTTTATAAGCAGTATTAATTTACAAACATAATACATACGGATACGTACCTATGCATCATATTTGTTAATAATTTCTTTAGTTTCCTCTCAAAGAATTAATGTTTGTCAAAAAAAATTCCAGCTTTACATTACAACAGAAGCCAAATAACTAAAATACGAGTTAGTTAACACTGAAAATATGGTGTCAGCTCAGATTTAATGTTTAAAATTGTCCATGTCAATACGATATATGATCACCGATGGTATAAAGTAGGCTTACTGCATTATTGTCACTTGCGCCTCATTTGAAACCGTTCTTTAACTCTATAGAAAATGGACTACTTAAGTCTTTTATCAGATATGCGTAAAACACTTCGCTACGAGTAAGCAAGTAATGTTTTTTTATGCGCCTGCTTTGATAACTTCATTGTCAAGGGGTTTTAAAGCTCACGATGAATATTTATGTAGTTGAAGATATCATTTATTGAAGATGGGCCGAATTAAGAGCAACATTAACCGACAAGCATGTATGCTTAGACGTATGTGACAGAAGCAAGACATTGTCAGGATCGTGTCAAATGGAAGTCCGTAGTTGGACCATTTGTCGGTCTGTCAGAGGTTGTCAACCTGTTGACAATTGCGCGAGACATGTTATAGTTCCGTAAAGGTACACGTGTGTGTGCCTTTAGGACGTGTGTCCTGTGTCCTAATTCTAACATATCCGCGTGCGATTCGATTGGATTACCGATTGTACTTATGCTTATACGAAAACATTAGATTCAAAAAGGTAAAATATTTGTTGAAATAAAACAGCGAGCTATGTTGATACGTTATATACATCATTTACATGTAGTATATCTGACGTCATATATCTATGTGTAGTCTATGTTACGCAATAACGACAAATTGATTGAGATATCTTTGATTAAAATCCGATGCTTAGTTTAGAATTCCCATAATTTTTATATGAATAAAGTCATTAAATATAATTCCTTTTTATTTAATGACTTTATTCATATAAAAAAACACGCATTTACCGTAATAATAATCTTCGCAAACTGTACAACAGTTTGTTGGCGATAATTGCGCTCTTTTCTTTTATATTTATATAATTTTTTATATTTTTCATTTATACGTTTTATGTTACTTACTTATTTATCTTAGGAATATTATATAACAATTAATATTAATAAATAATAATATTAATTAATAATAATAATATTTTTATATAATATAATAAAGTTCGGAGAAGCGTGTTCAGCAGTGGACTTGTGAAGGGCTGTAATGATGATGATAATGATGATGATGATATGCTTTGGCTTAGAAATTACAAGCGGACGTGAAAACGCACATATTAAAAACATTCTTACATCCATATGTGCACATGATACGAAATATTATCTCTTTTGGGTTCTACCGACTTAAATGGATAAAAGTAAATCAATTGCATTATTGAATGAATAAAAAAATCGTGTTTGGTGCAGATATCCCATCTGGGCGCTCCTAAAAAAATCTAAATCCTAAATCAATTGTGGTTTGAAATCTGAGCAAATTACACAAAGCAACTTTAATAATAAATCAAAGATTTGCTTTATTGTAATATTATGAACGGTATACTGGATATAGATATCTATAAATAGTCAAAGGCGAATACGAATGCCAAACAATATCGTATATTGTCTGCGTCGAAAATGTTTTCTATTTCTAAACACAAAGCTTAAATCATTCGTAGAGTACCGTTCGCTATACGTCATGTCACGACTCACTCCTCCGCACTACCATTAGATTTTGACTTTCAGTTAGAGAGTACTTACACTAGGTTAAGTTTAATAAAAGGCTTTGTTAGTTATTGTAACGAAAGCGAAAATTATTTCCTATATTTCTTTTTCTTAGGCATGTGTTCAGTTCATTTAGCCCATCTTGTGAAAGAGGATATGGTCATAATGATTTCCAGTTACTAGAGCTTTTTCCCTCAATTCAGATTCAGACAAGAAGTTGGTGTATTCACATCAAATAAAATTAAATGTATCTATGAATAAATTAGTTCTGCCACATAATAAATAACATATTTAAACTTCACCAAAATATGTCAATAAGTATTAAAATATATACGTGGTAGAGCCACGCTGCGGCTATATTATGGTTGTAGCACGAATGGTTGGATGGAATGGACCGGCGAAGGACCACGCTCTCACAGAATACCAGCGTGAAATAGCAGCTTAATGCTGTTGTGTTTCGTATGGTGAGTGTAGAGAACCGGAGACCCATTTTACTGGAATCAAGGTATTTCATCTTAGTCCTCAGGGGTATCAACACATCTACATTTTGATACTTAATCGAGGTTAAATGTATATGTCTATGGGCTATAGCATTTCACTTACCATCAGGTGGACTGTGTGCTCGATTGTTACCCTTATTCTATAAAAAAATTCTGGCTGAATGTATTACGAACTTATTTTTAGCAAATGTAATTTAAAAGGGGGCATATGGTTTTCTATGGGTTGCCCTGCACAGCTTTAATTTGTCGAGTGCCCTTCACACGCTCGGTTAGTCGAGTACACAGAGGGAGGTACTACGAGGGCTCCCACTTGACTTCATAAGAGGTAAAAAGACTGCTCATTTAGAGGCTATGGAGGAAAAATCATTTTTAATGCCTTATAATTCTTTCATTCAATATTTATTAATTTTACTCGACGTAATATTTTTACGACTTTTTGTTTAATGCCCCATCATCACGAGGGTGTGGTTAGAGGGAAAAATAGAAGATGTAGAGCAGCATCTTTCAGATAATAAGCGTTATGTATGGCAAATGCTTCTTATGTTCAGAATTAGACCATCAGATCTTAATAGTCTAAATTTACTGAGATTTATGGTCAGGGTGTAGTGGAATAATTATCCCATATCATTACGTGATGATCGTAGGTCGATACTTAAAAATGCCGTGGTCACTTCACGATCCTTGATTATTATTTTACAAAAAATTATGTTTAAAAAATAATATAAAAACAACAACACAATCGGACCCGAAAATTATTTTTTTTTAAATTATGTTTAAACATTGGTTCTAGTTTAGATTTAAACACAAACCCGCGGCATTGTACTCAGGTTATGTTCGAAGTATTAGCCCCACCCCTCGCCACCCCGTTCTCATTACAGAAACTCTTTTGCATGCAACCGGAAGGTCCATTCCATCCATCTAATCCACAATACCTATCAAAGTCATCCATCGAAAGGTCATCGAGATCTAAATTTTATATTTTGTGTACAAAGAAAGGCTCTGAATTGCGTATTTAATTTTGATTTATTTTATTTATTGATTATTTTATTTATTTGAAGTATTTTATTAACAAGTGGTAAAATTAAAAAATGAATATCCGACTGCAATATAAACAAAATGCATCTAAATGTGTTCGAAGGCATTATTAAGTATAATTCAAAAACTATTGGTCAGATCTTGATCAAATTTATATGGAACCACACGAGGAGTAACACCTTTCAAATAAATAAATAAAAAACCATCAAAATCGATTCACCTATAAAAAAGAAAAATGTAGCACACAAAAAAAGACGTACAGTCAACTTGAGTACCTCCTCCTCTTTGAAATCGGTTGACGATCAACTATGCAGTAATTCCAGCCAGCTCTTTAAAAGCAGTGTAAACTGTTCTCAACAACAAACAACTAACTTTCTCTGCCTATCTCTGTCAAATCTTCGTAGCACTAGACTTGTTCAATTACGGTTGTAATACCATAGTTGTAAAACGGTAACTAATTTAACAAAGTCTTGTTTATAGTTCACTTAATTTAAATACGGTGAAAGGTATTAGAGATGATTAAAAATATGAATAAAACTTAAATTTTGTTCTGTAGTTATGTACTTCTTATTATTCCTGAGACTTTTAGTAACATATAAAATAAAACGCATTTTATATTTATTTTTACATAGCGACAAAACTCGCGGTACCTTCTATCCCATCTGGATGACTGGCGGTCCACCACACCATATTTACTAAGAATTTTCTTCCTCACACGACTTCCAGCTATTTTTCCGGATCGATACGACTTAGAGACCTTGAAGGGGAAGAGCCTGCTCTTTCTTAAAAGGCCGGCAACGCACCTGCAATTCCCCTGGTGCTGCTGTTATTGATGGGTGGCGGTAGTCGCTTACCATCAGGAGCTGCATGCTCGTTCATCTCTTCTTTAAAGGGTTGGGGTCCTATATTATAAAAAAGTACTTTTACTTATTATAAGTACTTAATTGACTTTAATTCCGTCTGTTGATGATGGTGGTGATGAAGCCTTGGGTACTAAATTTTCCTGACGCATTGTCCTGGCGTTACCGTTATCGCTACAGCCTATCAAAAGTCAGCTGCTGAACA